TAAATGCATATCACTTCCAGCCAGTCTTAAAAAAGTGAATGTAGCAGTAACTGGCTCAAGTCATGTCAAATACATAGGGTTAAACGTGGATATTAATTATATAACCGCAGGACTCAATTTACTTTGTAAAGCAGTTAAAAGAAGGCAGAAAATTACAGTCCGTTTCTCGAAAAGAGTAATGTCTGTTCAAAAATAACTTCCTACCCAAAATAGCCTGCCTGTCTCATGTAATATCAATTGTGGGCAAAGCGTGGGGAAACGCTTAGGCACTTACAGCACTGCTTCTTTATGGAAAAATCAAACCCAAGTTTTAAAACCACAGAAGTTGACTGTTAGGTGCCCAGATCCACATTTAGGCATGTAAACAAAAGATTTGCTTTCCAAACTGGCTGAACAGCACGCTAAAATTTAGCTTCCCCTTCTGTTTATTCTTCATGGGCGGGTTAAGGCAATGAAAGGGGTCTGTGTCGCTGCGGACAGGTTTAAGGAGGTAGAGGTTTGGTTTTTTTTAATACAAAATACAGTTTAATATTGCTCTGGATTATTCTAGTAGTCTGTCTCTTTTTTATTTATTTATTTTTAAATGTATTTCTTGCTTCAGAGTGGATAGGCAAGGATTTCTCTCAAACATATTAATCAGAGCTGGAGTTTGTTCCTACATCCATAAGCAAAGTAGGTCTGTATGAAAACTTCATTAACCCAAAGCACCTGCTCCAACAGGCATTCCGATGGAAAAATGGTGTGTTCTTGGATACTTTACTGCATTTTAGTTTTGCTTTGAGTGGTATGCATAATACCCCCTTCTTTACAGCGTACCCTCTGAAAATACTATTGAGTGATCTGGACCCAGCTGTCAGTGAGAGCGTCATACCTGTTCTGGCCTACAGCCACAGCGTCTGTCCTTCTCTCTGCCTCCTGGCTGGACAGAACGCCAGGATCAGACATCCTCAAGTATCTGCTGGTGCACCATCCTCAAAGTAGTGTAGACAGACAGACAGAAAGGAAAGCAACATGACTGTCCCCCCATGACTCACAATGTCTTCGCGCTTCAACATTTGTCCTTCATAATCACTTTAGAAATCAGCTTCTAGCAATGGCCTAAAAAAACAACCCTATGTAGTTACTTTTGTTTTCAGAGTATAGCACAGCATCAAAATTTCTGATCCACCTTTTTGATTGCTCTCCTAATTTAAATATATTAGAAAGAAACACCATGTTTGGTTTGTCTACTTTGTACTGCACTGAATTATTCCTTCTTCCAGGAGTATCATGCTTTAAGTTTTTATGTGGCATTTTCCTCTCTGTCCTGTTGTGAATGTGACTACAGGGGGATTTACAAAAAGAAAAGTTTAATGTATACAGACATGACAGCAGGAAAAGGAGGTGAGATTGTTTTTGCCTTGACTGTTTATTTCAAAACTATAGCGAGAAAGAGCTTCAAAAAACACCTGAAAGCTGAGAGACAGTATTTGGGAGCCAGGGGCTATTACCCTTATACTTCAGTAGAATCTCTTTGCTTTTATGTCACTGTTTCTAAAGTGAAAAAAAGTTGAAGACAGGGAGAAAGAACATGAATTCTGAGTGCCTTTCTCAGGTAAAATTTTACTGAAGCTAGAAAGCTCATATAAACAAGGACTTCCAGACATGACAGCAAGAAACTTTTAACTCTTGTATGGCAATTTCAAAATCTTTTAGTGAGAAAAGATGGGGTTGTATGCTGAAGCAATCCATGGCAACACAACTAGATCCATTTCCACTCTCTTCAATGAGTTCAATATGCTCTAGATGATGTCACTGTCAAGGATGAGCATCAAACATCTATTACATCATTTACTTTGTTATGTCAGCAGTGGTCTGGCTTGCATTTTCAAATGTGACTGAGCCAGTAACATATTACCTTCACTGTTAAAACTCCAAGAACAATTAGCAATAAATATACATCTCAGCCTTTTAAGGCTTTTTTTTTCTTTAAAAGGCCTTCACTTTTAAAAAAAAATAAATACTAATAAACTTAGAAAGGGAGAACATATATCTGCTTCAAAATTGAATTCCTTCCCAAATTTTGCGTTCCTGTTCATCTACACTTACCAGCAATAAGAGACAAGTGAAATCTTGATTCTAAGAACATCAAACTATGTCTATACTTGGGTGCTTTAGTATGCTTAAGTCTAAATGCATCCTGCAGCTGTCAGCTAGAGTTCAGGCGAGGGCAACCTAGCACATGGGCCAGAAGACAGCCACTCTGTGTTCAGATACTTACCTCATCTGGACAAAAAGGGAAGGAAAACTGTGGGGTATATCGCAGATTCCATCTATCTGGAAGTCTACATTCACATTAATATGAAAAAATCAAAACTGATGAGCTTCTCTGTGTCTATCTTCACAAATTTTAAAGGATAAACAATTTTTTTAAAAAGTTCTCTACTCTTCACAGTATAAAGGTACATGAAGGCTTTTTCGTTTTGTACCGGAAACACAGCTAGAGGCTCTCTTTCATGCAAGTGTCTGATTCTCAGATTTACCTTTTTCTAATCTGAGTTCCAGATCTGCATGGTGCATCACTTTTACAGTAGTCAAAAAAAAAAAACAAAAACAAGAGGCCATAGCTTTATACCAGAGTAAAGAAGAAAAAAACAACACATTAGTACATCAATCTTATATCCAGTTTATTTAATACCATAGCAGTAAATACAGGTAAGATTTCTGGAATCTGGCAATGCTAGAGCTGGCAAGATACAGCTGCCTGACAGATCAAGAGTTATTAGTACTGCTGGAATTCTGTGCCGGAAAGCTGAAGGGTGTTCCTGGGTAATCTTCAAGTTCAGCCTCGCAGATATTGACAATACAGTGAAATACACTACTCTTGACATGGCAGAGCAGCATCTGCATAGAAATAAAGCAACACTGTGCCTGTCAACACTGAGAACTATATTCCAATATTTGTAGTCTTAAGCAAAGTGAAATAAGCAGTATGTTTTCCTTAAAAAAGGAAGTGATCTTTGGTCATCACTTATTAAAACGTCATTTAGGATTGGTTGGTTTGTTTGTTTTTTACAACAGTAATGCTAAGATTATACAAATTTTTTAATGTTATGTTATGGAGGTGGACATTTGAAAATCAGTATTCTGCTGTGACAGATAAGTAATCTTACTAGTTTCAATGCAGGTAAAATTTCAGAGCAGAGGTAGGCTTCAACTACAGCAACTTACAAAGACTGAATCCCACCCAGCTTCTGGCAATAATTCATCTTCAGATCACTTCTCTTCCCTTTCATAATTTCAGTATGAGCACAGCACTTCCAAACGCGCTGGGCTAAGCCCTTATTTAGTTAAGTCTACAGTAAGAGCTCTGAATGTCAATTGACAAACATATTTAGACTTGTCTGATGTTTAATATCCACATTTGAAAAGCGTAGCCAACATACTCTAACACTAGCTCAAGCAGCATTTCAATACCACAGTGATGACTCGTTGTAAAGACATTGGTCCTTACAAAAAACACTCTGTGCAAGTTTGGAGAGCACAGGTCTTACCAGCAGGCTTGACCTTTAAATCCAGGCAGACATCCTAAAGAATTTGTGCTCTTTACCAGTCCATGTGCTTTTCGAGCTTCCACTCCCATCTAAAATTGAACAGGCACATGCACCTTACAGGTAAGGAAACTTTGTACAGCCCATGAAAACTGCTCTGAAAGAGATCAGCCTAAGGTGTTACACTGGCCCTAGCCATAAAATTATTTCACTGAACAATGACCTTGCCAAAACAGTCCAATAATGACTAACATTTCACTAAAATTTCAGTTCCCACCCTCCTCAAACCTCTCTACTTACTTTCATCACCCAAGAAATAAAAGACACTGAAACAGGAGACAATAATGCTGTGATTATTTGCTTCCTTACTTCTGGTGCCTCTGCAAGGCAACTTTGCAGGTAAATACCTTCATAGATTTGGTGTCTTAGCGTTTAATTCACATAAATTTCAGGTATTAATCACCTTTAGGCACTCGAGGATCTGAGCCATCCTTCCTTGAGTTAAATACATTATCATATACAGCAGTAGTATTTTGTTTTTCTTTAGTGCAAGTGCTTGTGCACAAAAAACAACTACTCAGAATTCTGAAGTAAGATTTTAATCAGCAAGGCTGAGTTTTTCGGAAATAACTGTTTATACTTCAGTCGCACCTAGAAGCTCTATCCAAGACCATCTTGGTGTTGAATCAATACAGACTAGAACTCTCCTCTGAATAACTTAGGAGATAAAGGGTGGGAGGAGCATCTGAAGGGTTTAAGTGACATAGCCCTAACACAGTAAATCTGTAGTAGAACTGGAAATAGAAGGTCAGGTCTTCTAGGTCTAGACCCTGTCCACTTGACCATACTATCTCCTGCCTTTGGTTTCTACTGTCTTGTCTTCCAGACATTGACCTTTGGAGGAAACTGATTGAATCTCCAGAGCAGCCTGTGCTCCATTATTTCAGCTTGTTCCTACTTCAAGACTAACCATCTTTTACACAGATTTCCTTCTCTTTCCAAACATGTTGTTGATTAACTTGGCCATTGACTTTGATCCACTTGGTCGTCTTTTTTCCTTCACTTTGAAATTTGAGGTGATATTCCTGAGGACTTTCGTGAACATTGCCACAACTTCCTGATAATGCTCTGCTGCAGACAGTTCACAGAATTGACACTTGTTATCCATTGCCAGCTTTTGTCCTTCATCCCAGCCAACTTCCCTCATGTGGCATAAATCCTGTTTATTACCAACCAAAAATACTGACGACTCGACCATTCTGAAATCAAAAAGGTTCTGATTAGAGAAAAGACACATTACAATACCATGCTATATGCTGTGCTACAGACAGCGTGTATGAAAAGTATGTATGTTCAGGATATCAGGCATTGCAAAAAACCCAAAAGTACAAACCAACCCCCTAACCTTGCCAGGTAGAGTTATAGTTTTCCATTTGCCATAGTCAAACGTCAAAGGATTTTCCAGACAAGCTATTTTCTATGAGTAAGTTTTCATTTTGGTTCCTCTACTCAGTGAATTCATGTATTTTTCATCCACTGCACTTTTCATACTCTATACTGCTGAGTATATTGTCAGCTCCTGGACTTTATGAAGAAGCAAGGTGATCATTATCTCCATTTGTAGATAACAGACTAGAGGCAAAGAGATGCATCAGTGTCAGTAGCACAATTCAGAAGAAAACACAGAAGCCTAATCCCAAGTTTTTGCTAAAATTACTCCTTCCAGAGAAACACTAATTAAGAAAGGTCAGCAGTAAAACAGACAGAGAAGTATTATTTTTGTTTTACTCCACTTCTGATATAAAGGAAAGGATTTCACTCATTTATTTAGAGAGCACCTCAGCTGACTGAGGCAGGAATACACACCACCACAGGTACTCAGACTTGTAATTTTGGTGGTTCTTTTTAAAGTCAGTAGTTTGTTTCTTACCATATGGTCACCCATGTGCACAGATAACATTGGGATCACCGCCGAAGGCAGTTTAGGAGCTGTTCATGGTATTAGATTCATTTATTGTGGGAAACGCTTTTTTCAACACCCACATTGGTGTATCTCCATTGGTAATAGAGTAAGGAAGTAAAAGCATAGACTGACTTTTTACCCATGTAAATCACAGCAGACAGATTTATAGGAGTTATTTAAATAGTAGTGCTGTAAGAAATAAGAACAAAAATCCTGATGTACTTGGCTTTGGATAAAATGAAACAGATTGCAATTTGCAACACAGTTTACTTTCAGGTACCTTATTGTTGGTGTTGTGTTACGCCACTAGGATGCTGCTGGATTTTAATTGCTACTAGGATGCATATAGCTCACAGAAATGTTCTCAGCTTTTTTGTATGGGGAAAAAAAAAAAAGCCACTTACTTTTTACAAGCTCTTATGTGAGACTCTCGGATCCTGTACAGCAATGCTTTTGCAAATGCAAATGATGTTCTGTCACTGATGTCATAAACAATGATAAATCCGTCAGCCCAATGGAGCTCATCTGTGAGGGAGAACTTCCCTTGCTGTGGCTGAAAGAAGTTCAGATTCACATGCAAAAAGAGTATTACTGTTGTCACTTCAGAGCATTTTCTTTGTCACTGTGAACATGAGAATGTTGTATCTTTTACTGCAAAAGATACTAATGGGTCTAGGTGCTGGCACTGAGTTCAGGTGAGTCCTGCTCCAGAAGCTTAATAAATAACTAGCACTACAGATGGCACTTTAGACCACTGACAAATTAATTGTGACACATTTACACTTTGTTTAAGCAGTAAAATTGGATAACCTGTACAGCCATTCCTTATGCTGAAAATTCTGCAGTCACACGAGAATGAAACATACAGAAGCCATCAATATTTATGCAGTTTCTGGTTATAGCTCTGGTTTGCATGTTCCTGATATTCTGACTACAGTAAGCTTAATTAATTTGTTAAAAATTCTTTGTTCCCACTCATTTGTTTCTTCTTCGCACTGTTCAAGTCTGAAACAGTATTTATCCATAAGATAAATTTCTAGAGAGCCAGAAAAAAAAAAATCTCCTTTCAATCTGCAGTTGACCTTAATGAAACTCATGACAAAAGTCACTCAAGTGATAATGGGGTTATAACAATCCTTGAGTCCCTTCACCCCAAGAAAGTGTCACACTTTGATTTCTAGAAAGGAACAGCTGCAAACTGTTCCATTAAGCTACAGAATGTAATTTCAAAACTATTTTAAATCAGCTTATCCCTGCAGATGATCTGACAACAGCCAGCAAGATTATGTGACCCAAGATAGCTTAAAATATCGGAAGCCAACCAGGAAAAAATTAAAATAAAAAAATTGACTTTTGCTCTGTGGAAAACCCATTTTGAATAGTAATTTGAGGACTGTTTACGTTGTTCCCTGACTAGTTCAGTATTTTGCTACTTGCAATGTGTAGTCTCCACTGACATCCCACCCTGGCTGCCTCGATTAGCTCAGCATCAGGGCAGCACTGTAGCATCATAAACAGCTGGACTGGGAAGGCCATAACTTACCATGAGGGATGGTAACAGAATGCTGGAAGTGAAGGGGGATGCACAGAATCATAGAATGGTTTGGGTTGGAAGGGACCTTGAAGATCACCTAGTTCCAACTCCCCTGCTGTGGACCTAGACCAGGTTGCTCAAAGCCTCATCCAACCTTGCCTCCAGGGATGAGGCATCCACAACTTCTCTGGGCAACATGTTCCAGTGCCTCACCTCCCTCAGAGTGAAGAATTCCTTCCTTATATCTAATCTAAATCTCTCCTCTTTCAGTTTAAAGCCATTGCCCCTTGTCCTATCACTACATGCCCTTGGAAAAAGTCCCTCCCCAGCTTTTTTGTAGGACCCTTTTAGGTACTGGAAGCTGCTAAAAAGTCTCCCCAAAGCCTTCTCTTCTGCAGGCTGAACAGCCCCAACTCTCTCAGCCTGTCTTCATACGAGAGGTCCTCCAGCCCTCGGATCATCTTTGTGGCCTCCTCTGGACCCACTCCAACAGCTCCATGTCCTTCTTGTGTTGGAGGCCCCATAGCTGAAGGCAGTACTGCAGGTGGGGTCTCACAAGAGCAGAGAGGGAAAAGATGAAACAACAAGTTTCCAGAACTGCCCAAAGACTTCAGCATCTTTAATACAACACGTCTTTAATGCTCTAGTGACTGTAGGGCAGGTTTAGGGGCAGGAAGGTGTCTTGTGTGTGTCACAGCTGTTTCCCAGATGGAAGAAGGGACAGTGAGCTTTGCAGAACAGTGATTCAGCTACTAGAGGAAAGCCTCACAGAGCAGGAAGACTTCAGGAAGCAGAAACAAAAATGGCAACCCTTCCTTCCCCAGTCTGGCCTCCCTGCTTTTCTACCCCAGCTCCCATGGGATATGGGAACTCAATATCTCATCCATCTCTTTCTAGAATCACCAGTCCTATCAGAAAAAAAGCAATAGCAACACTACTCACTACCCACTCCTCTGCAGGCACTAAGAAGTCAGGAAGAAAGCAGCAAACAGCTAAAGTCAGGCCTTGTTCCTAAGGAAGAACTGGTAGAAGGCAGCTCAAAGAGTGCAGGCAAGGGGAGCTGCCCTTCATGCAGCTGATCTCTGGTCTCCTTAAAAACAAAACGGTACCCAAACCGTAGCAGCCACAGTCCCTGCCCAGAAAGCAGTCAAATCTGCTTTACCCTAGCCAGCTGCCACTCCCAGTGTTTCAAGTATCTTAATAAAGAGCTGTTCAGTTACCACGGGATTTAATATGTCAGTAAGTGGAAGCTACAGGCAGGCTTAGGAAAGAGGTCTGAGATAGGTGGAAGCAAGACCACAGAACAGATTCTTCTAACAGATTGCATGGCAAGGGAGGAGTCCATATTGTGTCACTGCACAGCGACTATTTCAGGATTCCTGAGACAGGCAATGCTATTGCTTGTCTCTAGGAAGGCAGATTTGTTTGGTGGTTCATTTTACATGCTCGCTGGGTAAAGTTTTTATGTCCTTGACTTTAAGACTGACTGAGAATTTCAGTGCTTTGGCTTTAGTATTCATTATCCTAGTTGGCAAGAGGCAAGACCAATCTCCAGAAGAGATCCTTGCGAGCTAATGCCATCAGACAGACCTACGTAGGTCTGCATGTGTTACACAGCACCAAAGCTTCTCTATTCCTGTAACAGCAGGAAAGAAAGTAGTACAAAAAACTTTATTACAAAGTGGTTTATTGTGATCAAAGTTCAGCTGTTGACACGTATAATCCTGGATGATGGCTTTCCTTGGATCTGTTCTGTGAATGCAAGTCTTACTTCCAGGCCTGTCTACTGTGACCATTTCTGCAGACATTTAATAAACTGCTTGTTTTATAAACTACATTTCATCCATTTAGGGCATTTGAGAAAGCTGCACATAATCCTGTAACTTATCTCTGTATCTACCTATACAACGCAGAAGTGGGAAAAGTTATTTCTGTTAGTAATATTCCAAAAACATAAAACTACTTACAGAAAATTTAAGCAATGAAGGGTTTCTTCCATGAAATGGGAAAGTACTCAGCAGTTCTGAGCCACAGGAACTATAAAATTTCAGTTTCATTTTACAAAAAAACAGAGCAAGCACAAATTCCAAGAACCAGACACAAAGGTTGTAACCCCCCCAACTCTTTCTACCGTTACACAGGCAGAATGAAGAACAGCCTTTCTTTGTCCCCTAAAATTCTTACCTGCGAACAAGGGTCATAAATTTCCAAATGTATCTGCCTCCCATCCAGGCATAAGTGCTTAGTGTAGATGCATTCTAAAAGAGAGATGGCATCCAAAGAAAACCAGCATTAGTGACTGGGGATGGTGGTGAGAAGAAAAGGCAGAAAGGGTTAGATTCCATAATACTGAGGGGACATTTAGTGCCTTGAGTATTGTTTGTTTTTTCAGGGGTTTTGGTGTTGTTCTAGGGAGTTTTTAGTTTGCTTGGGGTTTTGGGGTTTGTTTTTTTTGTTTGGTGGTGGTGGGTTGGTTTGTTTGTTTTGAGTGGGTTGGGTGCTTTTTTAACTACACACTGGAAACAGATTTGTTTCATTTTGCAACACCAGAGCTGCCCAACTCAATTTCACTGCTGTTCCCATCAAAGTGTTGGTGCAATGAATGCTTTTAGACCCTAGGAGGCAAAGAGGATGCACAATGCTCAGAATGACCTATGCCTTGACATACCAAGGCTCAGGATTATGAAAGTAGCAATCCAGCCTATGCATAAATTCTGATCCTGCACAAAAATAATTACTTGGTAATAATGTTTATTTACCATGAAATCCAGTGCTTTAAGAGTTTTCATACTCAGTAGCATTAGACCAATAGTATTTACAGCATCATGTCCTTAGACTTGATCCCATTTCCATCATGTCATTTCTCAGGTTTGGGACTCTCCACTAGCACCCCTGGGAACTCTACTGCAGATAGACCATCACTGTTACTTTAAGCAGCGTTTTATTCTAAGCAAGCATAACTAACTGGTGTTCATGGCACTGGCCACCAAAAGGCTGTCTACAACGTAATTCCTCAGAGTTACTGAGCTATAGAGATGAGAACTGGTGTTGGCACTGCTCAAAACAGACTTCAAATTGTGTATGATCAGGGCATAGATATGGTTTATGATCTCTGGAACTTGGCATCTCCAGTTCAGCATCACGTTCATCTTAAGCATTCTCTGTGCATGTCTTAAAAGTTCACCTGATTATGAACTATCAGTCCAAGTATCTCAGGGTATAAAATCTGCAGCCCCTTGGTGGTTTTCATAATCAATTTTTTTTTTTTATTAATACTTGGACTCCACTAACAGTGGGATGATCTGTATTGCACCACTCATATTCCCGACTTTCCTCCCCCTTCCTCCTCTCTAGAAACGGAGCTAAACTTATCTTCCAACAAACATTTGTTAACAAATTAATCGTTTTGGGGGTTTGACATGCCTTTTCTGAGCCTTGCAGTATTGGAGACTCAGAACAAGGCAACCTGCTTTTAGTTGCAGGTGGCTTAGAGACCACTACATAACTTACCTGTGACAGCTTAGACCCAGATAAGCCATCTGGGACACAAACTGTCTTTTCAGTCTGTGTTTGTATAGTAACAAGTCTTGGTAGAGCATTTATGCACAACCAACTCTACTTTCAGAATAAGTTCATTTGGATATATTCGATGCAATTTAGCTTAGTACTTCTATTTTATTTATGGATCATGGAAAGCTACTCTGATTTTTGTAAAAAAAAAAATAATTTTTTTTTTGAAAGAGTACTTCACTTTAACAGGGGAAAGAGGGGTAGATAGAAATCTCCTTTCCTTGTTAAGTTTTGGGACTTCTCATGCCCTGTCAGATGAAGCAGCACACTGCCAAAAGTGTTCCTGTATCAGTGAAATAGTGCTTCTACCTGCCATGTGAAAGTTCAAGCCCTGCTTTGCCGTCTTCCAAGATCTTAGAAGTGTCTTAAGGATCAGTGTATTTATTCTGGCATGAATGAGAAGTTCTATCCTCAACACGGCAAGGCTTTCCACAAAGCTATCAAATCAGTGCATTCCTTTTTTTTTAGGGGCTTTGCATCATGCTTTGATTAACCAGTAGTGCTTGATAAACAATCTGTTTCACCTCTCCTCTAGAGCTGAGGAGGAGATACTCAGCAGAACAGATGCTGGGGTGGGTTTTTTAAGCCTATTTCTTTACTGTCGTCTTTATCTCCTCTCTGATGGAGCTGACTATAATCTACTGGCGCTTCGCACCGCAGCCCGCTTATCTTTCCTTCCCGAGCCCCTTCGCAGTCGCTGTGCGCTGAGCACTTCGCCCGTGCCCGGGTGCGCTACCGGAGTTCTAAGCGATCTCCCCCCAGATACTCGCTTCGCCTTTTCCCGTCTTCAAAGCTCCTATTTCATCACGAACTCCCGTTGATACGCAATCGAAAACTTACATCTTTCCGAAAAGTCCTGTGAAAACTGCGTTTCTACCCAATTTCGTGTTCAAATAAGCGTTCGAAGCGTCGCATCTTGCATTCCACGGGCGACCCGCGGCCCCGAAGGGCGGCCCCGCACCTCCCCGCACCCCGGCGGG